AAAAAAAAAAAAAAAAAAAAAAAAAAAAAAAAAAAAAAAAAAAAAAAAAAAAAAAAAAAAGAGCAGATCATGAAGAACAACTTCTGGGTCAAGTTCAGGTTTGCAGCATTGAGCATGCAAGGTGCCAACTTCTGGGTCAAGTTCAGGTTTGCACCATTGAGCATGCAAGGTGCCATCCTGGTGGACCTTGACGCCAGATTTGGCTGACTAGGACTGGGGACTTCAAACCAGCAGCACCTACCTCACTTTTCGTACCCCCCAGGTTCGAATGAATTTGGACCGGAGGGCAACCTATGTATGGCCAACGTCATCAGGCAACCTATGGCCAACGTCCTCAGGCAACCTACTCATAGTCAAGACCTGACATACAACGATTCTGGACGGATAGTGCAGGGTGTGTTTGTAATCCTTACCGTTCATCAACTCAAGGGATTGGTGAGTACAACCGTGCATAGGTCTATTGCCCGCCAGTGTCTTCATGCGTGAGGGTGCACGGTTTTGAACCCACAACCCTCAAGCCACAATGCGCATTTCCAAATGGTGCTCTGCCCACTGAGCTAATCCGCTGCACTTGCCAACAAGAAATAATAAAAAAAAAAAACAAAGAAAAAAAAAAAAAACTTTGCTGGAAATTAGAAAAAGGGGTTTGTAGACACCTTCATGTTGGGGTCAAGTCCCGCCGTACGGGAACAGTGAGATAGGGTGTGTGTTTTTTAACATCTTTTCAACATGGTCACAGCTGACCCGAGCAAATTGCACAATATTGCCAATACCAGCTGGACTTGGCCTCAGGGGTGGGCACAAAAAACTCCCCACCCTGGCTGGGCAGCCCGCTGACATTTTGAGGGGTAGGGTAAGTGGCTTAGGAGGCCACCGTGGGTGGATGTGTGACCGCCCCACCCCTCAAAAACTAGGCCAGGACCCCACTGCACGGTGCGCAGCCAAGCTCTTGGCCATGCAGTGCGCCGTGGAAAGCCCATAGCCAACGGAAGAACGAGATCCCACTGCATCAGGATATTGTTCCTGCGCCAACGGGCAACTTTAACAAAAGTGGAGAGCTTGCCCCGGTCTTACTGAAAGGAAGAGGAGGCTTGTTTTCTTTTCTTTTTTTTTTCTACAAAACCAAGAAGGATCTAGGCTTGCTTTTTTTTTCTTCTTTTTCTTTCTTCTTTTTGGCACTATCCCAATCACAGTGGGCCAGAACTGCAGCTATTGGCTACTGCTTCCTACCTCCGTTGCAGAGGAAGACGTGAAGGAGACGTAGGGTGGGAATCTGGCCTCTACAACAACCTGGGCTTTAAAAAAAAAGAAAATGAAAGCTGTATGCTACGTTCGGGGGAAAGTAATTGCTAATCTGCTAATTCCTAGGTAAAATCGAAGAGAGGAATTACCGAGGTAGTTGCTTACCCCGTGGCGGATGTCAGCGGTTCGAGTCCGCTTATCTCCACTGGGTACTAAACTCCAAAAATCGAAAAAGGGAGATAGGTTTCCCGGGGCCGGTGTGGTGAGGGGGCACCTTCCGGCGGAGGCATGTAAGGACAGAGGGACGTTTTTCTTAGGGAGGAGTAATCTCGGGAATTTTTTGTGAGTCTTTATGAATATTTGAGCTTCGAATAGACACCGAAACCGCCCAGGATGAGGGGTATTTTTCCCTTCCTTCCTCTCGTTTTGTGGGGGTAGAAGGGGGTGGGGTTAGAACCGGGGGATGGAATCTTGTCAGGAGGCTCTCAATAGAGGAAAGACTGTTAGGCAAGTAGGTCAGAAGAACGAAGCTGGGATGACGCAGGCCGGTGCTGGAGCGTTTGCTCTGTGACCTAGGGGGAGCTTGAGGGTTGTGGAGTTGTGACGCCCAACCTCACGCCCGGCGCGACTTCCTGATCTGGGATGTGGGCCTGGAAGTGCGAAAAGGGGTGTGCCAAGGATTTTTGGGAAAGTGGGGGTGGAGTCCCAAGTCAGAACTGAGATCTCATGTGGCGGGGTTTCAGGGTCATAGGCGCAATAGGGCTAAGGGACAGGTTATCTCCGGTCTGGTGGCGGTTGGCGTCACGCAGCATAAGGCAGATGATATGCGCAGTGTAACTGGGACCGTCCAATCCGCCCGTTTTAGTGATGGCGGTTCGGGAGAGGCCCGTCCGTGAGGGTTACGATTCCTATGAGTCGGACTTTCGGGTGCAGACACGTGGCATCCGTCGTCGCGCGTCCCAGTTGGGCTCCGTGGTTTCAGAGGTTCGTCGGTTGCCGCGTCGTCTGCAATTTCTGCAAGGCGCGCGCGGCCAATACGGGGCGATGGAATTCCACGGCACCACCGTGAGTTGATGGTACGGGAGGAGGAGACGGAAGGGAGGGAAATTGGTAGTGATAACGACAAAGCCGGGGGATATGAAGTATTGTGTGTTATACGTAGTTGGGTAATCGGGGCACCTCGAATCACTGGTTACGGCACAGTGAAACTCCCTGAGCCACAATCGGTTCTCAGTTAGGCAAGGAAATTTCGGAAGTCTTCGCCTAAGATATTCTCTTCCCCAAGGATCGAAGTACCCTGAGTCCCGTTTGTACGTCATCTTGTCATTGCGGCATAGCGGAAGATTCCTCGCCTATCCCGATACTAGAGGTGCCAAGTTCGTCAACGATCGCGACTCGTCGCGCGTGGACACGTGTAGGCCGCGCACTTTCGGATCGCGCTTACACACATCCACGCGAGGTGTTCGCTTGCGCCCGGGCCTGTGGGTTATGCTTACACAAAAGTGAGAGTTATAATCCTTCATGCAAAATCGCCACGTGTCATGGATAACTACCCAATCATATAATCACTTAGTGGTCCCACAAACAATCATTTCCGAACATGCAGGATGTCGTTACACATCAGACATCGCAACAACATCAGAACTCATACCATAACAACGACGGATCAAAGTGACAAGCGATGATGATGACTAGGCAAAAATGACAAACATATCATTTCATCCGAGCCAATTCATCCCATGTACAAAAGAGGGAGGACCGAGGCAGAGTGAGACATCATACAAGGACCAATATTGAAACAAAGATGTCGAAGGGAAATGAGAGCGAATCGCTCGAGCCGAAATCAAAATTTATATACCAAATTTAAAGGAAAAGACAAAGAAAATTGCAAATCCACGTCCATYAACCTCAACTCTCTCTTCCTCTCTCCGATGTGGGCAGTYGGTCGTCACGCACCAACCCACGAAGTCGTCACCCCGCTTAGTCCTCCTGCACCCGTCAGGTTCGCCCGCGTGCTACAGTCCGTCGTAGCCCCACGCGTCAACCTCGCGCATTCGGCACCAGCTCGTCGGGTCGCCCGATTCCCACTTCAAATCACCTCTTACTTCGCTCGTGAGCCRACCCTCACTGATCGCGCTACCCCGAGCTTCCAGCAACTGGTTAAGAGAGCGATYTAATCGCGCAGCCGGAATTTATACCGTGCATGCAGGCGCGAAGAACACGGAATTGCAAGGACTTAGAAAGGAGTTCAGGGGAGGGAGCGCCTACGTTCTGCATGACCAGATCGCGGCGTGGGGGATGTAGCTACTCTCCACGCATCGATCCGAGCATGCAGGCCGCGGGCTAACTAAGCACAGGAAAAGGGAAAGAGAGAGAGCAGGAAAGACGAAGCTCAAAAAGAAAGATACAGTTACAATGGCGCCCGCCCAAAATTACAGTTACTTGCAAGATTAAGGGCGCCGACTAATCAGAGCTCCGTTGCAGCCGCAAAAAGAAGCGCGCAAGCAGAAGGTGTTGCGCGAAAATCCTAAATTCCTAAATTCCTATCTAATGTGAAAATGCAAAAAGCACAAATTCTGGAAAGAAAGTCCGAAGTTCAGAGAGTCGTCAAGGCTCGACAAGATTCAAAAGGAATTTAAAAGAAAATCCGAAAAGAACGAAGCAAAATTCCCGCACGATCCCCGCGCCTAAAATCCGACATTCAGAACAAAAAGAGACGACGTCAACCATTATTACTCGCGCACATCGGCGCGCCACTCAATCGATCCTCCCAGGACTTGCCCAGCCCTGAACCCAGCCATCCAAAAAGAAGCGACGCAAAAAGACGAAGAAGCGAGGACACCGATGCAATTTCCCCTCAATCCCAATCTCCCGTAATTGGCCCAACCTTCCCATCTTAGGACCCCTCATTGTCATCGTGCAGAAAATCGCGAGGAACAGAAATTGTTTCGTCACATATGTGACGCCCAGGGGGTTCCAATCTTAAGCAAGCTCTCGCTTGCTTGAATCATGACACGTGTCGATCTCTCTAATTGATCGACACGCAGAGCCTTGTTCGTTGCCACTTACCGTTCGACAAGAGTGTGGACATCATCCAGGGTGGCACACAAGGCTCTATCCTACAATTTCCTCAGGAAGGGCTCTCTTCAGTCCAAGGAGGGGATCGTGCGTGCCATCGTCGTGGCACGTGCCATACATCCACACATCAGTAGCTAGCAGAGAGAGGAAAGGGAAGATGGTACATAGGGGGCGGGTCAGTCGGGAGTGGGGGTAGAAAGGGTTTCAATCCCGCGACTGTCACCGGAAGCTCCTGATATCGGACGATCCGATGGAAGCGCGGGAAGCGGGTGCCGCCATGGGGAAAGGACGCAAGGTAGTCGGGATAGAGGGTCATGAAGGTGCGAAGAAGGGCGGTTCGGAATCGATCATGGTTTTTGCATGCGGGGATAGTCCCCGTAATCATGCAATAGACCTCGATCATGTTGTGGCCTCGCCACGCGGCACTGACGAGAAGGACATGGAGACAGAATACAGGGGTGGCGCACCTGGTAAAGACGTGCGGATGCACCGTGACAGTGAGGCGGGTGGCATAGAAGTGGCGGAAGGTTGCAGTAGGGAAGGGGTTGTGGGGGAAAGAGACCGGAATGGTAATCTGACAGAGGGTGAGGAAATCAAGGGGACGGCGGGATAACGACCGGGGATGAAGCCCGATGCCCCGCTGTCGGCGCAAATACCCTTACAAACGTATCCGCCCTGGTTTTTGCAAGTGACAGAAAATAGTTTTGGTTTAAAGTTTAAGTATACCGCGCTAGGCGCGGCCGCGTCTGTGATTTACGTTGACTGGGTGGATGACTAGAGTAGAGAGTGTGTGGGCGCGCGGATTTTTGAGGCGCGCGTGATCTTTTTATTTGATGATGACTGAAGGGTCGGCATGATCGCGGGCCGGAATTTCTTGTTCTGATTAAACAGGGATTAAAAACATTAGGTCACGTTGAATTATGTGCTTGTTTGTGACCTATGCGTACGCGCGGAGAACGACTTCGACGACGGCACCGACGGCGACGGGCAACTTCGGGCAGTGAACGGGGCGGTGTAGGGTAGCGGGCGGGGCAATGATGGCATGGTATGGGTAAGCCGGCGCGGGTGTTGGGGAGCCGCGCAACTGGGTTGTTGGCCCTGAGCGTTGCGCCGCACTGCTTTGTATGGTATTCTGCGGGTGTTGATTTTAGGCTTGGGCATAGCCCTATAGGTTACAGTGTTGGGCTACTGCTATGGAGGTTCGGGGATCGAGGCCGGATGGCGTGGCACAGCAACTGCAGCGGAGCGTCGGGACCAATGGGGTTGAGGGTCACCAGGGCTATCCCCCTCGGTTTTGTTTATGGGCGCGGCGGTGGGGCCGATCCGCGGGACTGGCGAGGTGCCAGCAGCCACGCGGTCCCTATGTTTATTTTATTTTTATTTTWCTTYCCTTTTTTTTTTCTTCTGTTTTTATTTACCGCATCCCGCTCGGGGACGCGAGACGGTAGTGAGATCACGTGGGGTGTGTTGTATTCGCGGGGTTGCCCGATGGGCGGTCACGAGTTGCCCTCGTGACTGCCACAGAGTTACCCCCTTATAGTATTACGGGGAATCCCGTAGCAGCCACAGTCGTGCTCAAGCCTCCGACGAGGGGACCTGCGGGAAATGCAGTCACCGGCCGGTGGGTGGTACCGGCCAGGGGTCAGCCGGCAGTATCAGGGCCGAGCTTCTTTTGATGGGTCGGTCACCGTTCCTCGACTTGGTCCCCTCCCCCTATGAGTACCGGGGGGGTTTCGGCTCAGTACCACTTGGGAGAGACCAAGACGGTCGTTGGCGTCGGGTGCAGGCGGGCGGAGGGGCGCAATGCTAGTCGGAGGCGCGAGGGGGGCAACTGCAGAGCCGGGGGTAAGCGCTGAAAGGAGGAGCGCAGTGGCCGGAACCAATAGGGGATTAGGCCGGGCCACTGCGGCTGTTAGGCCGACAAGGCAGAGCAGTACAGCGGTGAGTGACAGGGGTTAGTAGGTAGGAGCGAAGCTGGTCAGGCAGGAAGAAGGAGAGGATATCGGGGGCGGAGGGATGAACGGACTGACGGGCAGTAAGCCGGCGGAGCGCAGACGAGGACGAAGGAGGCAGTGGAGAAGAGGAGTAAACCTGGGCGACGAATCGCGCCAGGTGCCTGCGCACAGAAGAACGGGAGGAAGGTAGCGGGGAATGCATACCGGGCAGCGCAGAGTGGGAGCGGGGGAGACAGAGTTAAGGCGGCACAGGGGAACGAGGCAGCTGCGAGACAGGGCGGACCCGAGCGTGGGAAAGGATGAATGCACCTGACCCGAAACCGCGTCGGGGTGCGTTCGGAGGCGAGGGCGGAAGTGATGGCGATAACATATAGGGAGGAAAGCGCGAAACTCACCCGATTCGTGACAAGGACGGGTGAGAGGAAGGGCGTGCTTGAGTATTTGTGGTAGGGCGAGTTCATAAAGCAGATTAGATTTGAATGAAAGTTAGTGAGACGAGCGGTTAGTAGAAGGTAGTGCGCCGAAGCGGAGCGATGGTGGGAGCGGGGAAGAAGAAGGGGGCTGAAAAGTGTGTGTCGTGCTCATGATGGATTTAGACGATCGAAGATGCGATTCTGGGGTTTCGGCACATTGCGAGTTGAATGGCAGGCCCAGAATCGCACCTAGAGGGCCACTTTGGGCAGTACGAGCTTCGAGAGCTGCGCTGGGCTATGGCGGAGTAAGGAAGGGAGTAGCGGGGCACGAGCATAGTGGGCTAGTTTGGGGGCTGGAGTCAAGTGGGAGAGGTCTCGTTTCCGGGGGTTTAAGCCGGGGCGAGTACGATGACGGAGTTAGGATGGGCGATAGATTAGTAGAATTAGAGTTAGTAAAGTTGGAGCTAGTAGAGGAGATTAGCTCGCTGAGCTATGGAAGAGAAGAAGATGAAACGATTGTGTTGTCTTATTCTGAATAGATACAGGCGGGGGGAATAGGCCAGCTCGGGGTTTTGAGGTGGTGACAGTATGATAGTAGTGCTATGCTGGCGCTTAGATTAGTAGGCTGGGTGGTATGGCAATCCGGGGCTGCGCCCGGGAAGACTGAACTTTTGGACTCTTAACGCATCTGACCACAGCTCATAGGAAGATTCATTCGATTCTTCTCATCCGAACAAAGGGGGGGGCTGCGGGAATGCAACCGCGGAGGTGGGGACTTACCTGTTTGCCAGTGCGCGGTTCCGATCGTTGAGAGGAGTGGCTTCGCTCTATATCTCGACATAGGGGGATGGGCGGCGGTGTACCGTTCCTCCTGTTGGTGGAAGATTCATCCCGAGGGGCTGCCCGTTCTGGTTGCAGCGAGCCTCCTGTGCACTGATCACCTTTGGTCTTCAGACGAGCGTAGCCGCAGAAACGCCTGGTATGCACACGCAGAGAAAAACTAGTTGGGGAGGGAAGTGCATAGAACAGAAGGTTGGATATTGCCCGGCCGCACGGCGGCCAAGAAGAACTATAAGGTTGAGGGAGCCATCGGGCTGCATAAGAGGAGTCGTGGTTGCGCCAGCTGTGCGTCTTGGCTGTTGCAGTATCCGGTGGTGCTCAGTTATCCGGTGGTGCTCAGTTGGTTTTTGCCCGGCATTTTGGGTTGCCTGGGCTTTCCGCGGGAGCAGTTGGCGTGCGTTTAGCCTTGTCATACCGTTTGCTGCGCGGAATGGACTTTGCTTTGGGGTTTTAGTACGTGGCTAACTGCTGTTCAGTAAGGGGTGAGGGAAGCGGTTGGATCGAAGGGGGAGGCCGCTGTCGCAGCTTGGAAGAGTAGTGGCAAAGGGGGATCCGTTACGGCTTGGGAGTTCGTCAGGACAGTCTGCTTTAGCAGGTTCATTGCGGGGACGACCGGGCTGCAACGCATCCTGGCTACCATTGCGGGGCCCTCAGGCGCACAAAGGAACCAAGGCCCTCTCCTGCGAGTCTGAGGACACCCCTCTTGTATCTGAGAGACTTAACGATCCTTCTTTTGCCTTTCTTACTCTAAGTCTAGTCTATCGGTTCTGAGAGGAAGGCGGCAGGCGGGATTGCAACCTGTAATCCGCGCCAAGGCCTCTGTGGGAGGTTCGCCCCACCGATTGCGGGAGCTCTGTCAGAACCTAGGCGAGGCTCTGGAGGCAGGGAATTGAAAGGTAACCACTACTTTCCCTCAATCCACTTTTGTCACTCAACCTAAAGGCTTTAGTCATGTGGTTTGAATTGTTTCATTGTGTTTTACCCGGACTTTATTGAATGGTCATTTAACAAAAGTACTGAGTATTTATTTGGGGGAGTTACACAAGAGTGAGGTTTGCATGGCTAAAGCGAGGGGTATGAGCATCGAGAATGGTTGAAGTTGACCCCATGTAGTGCGTGGACTTCTGGTTGAATCTTTGATGTGATTGCAGGTATGATTGTGGTTCGGACTCTGGATGTGATTGCCTGCGATTTCATACATATATGGCTGAGAGGAGCCTCACTGTGACTGTGAGAAGTGATCGTCCTATATAATCAAACCTTACGTATTTATAAGTGCCCTGAGTATTTGAGAGGCCTACTGTGAGTGTGAATAAGGGTTAACTGGACTATGTCTTGAGAGGGAAGGGAAGTTCTTTTTTTACTCTTGCTTTTTAGAATTTGTATGGTTGGACGTTGTAGTCCGTGGCAGCCGTCAAAGTCAAACCCCTTGACTTTCGCCCAGGCCCAGAGTGAGACTCATCTCCAAGGCAGTAGGAAGCGACTGCCACCACAGGTATGGACCTGTGTACCACCCGCTCTGCACAGAGTGCAGAAGAGGGTGTGTGGTCTTCAACCGCGCATGGCGGTTTTATACCGAGTCTCTCGCGCGACGCTTATTCGATTTCCGCGCTGGAAAGTTATGGGATGATTACCGAGGGGCTAGGAGCGTTGTCGCGTTGTTTGTGTTGTGTCGTTTCGTGTGCGCGTGTGTGCGTTTTATTTTTGTGTTCGTAAAGTGGTGTGCGCGTGTTGTGTGGGATGCGTCCTAGTCGACCGACGACGAGTCGCGCTTGGGAACTCAGCCCCCCAAGATGCCGATTCGCGTGCGGGTCCGATAGGCATATTACCACGCGTACCCCCTATGCTACAGCGAATGAGAAACGCCGTCGGCTGGTCCACCTCTGCTGTGGACTGGTAGCTCGGCGGGGATACGCCAACCGAAGGGAGGTGACAACTCCCGTAAGGTGGAGGTAAGTTGTGCCCCATGTAGGCCCTATCCTGTCGTAGGGGCTCGCGAGAGGTATGGCTGACGCACTCGGCCGGAGCAGCCTAAGGAAGCTCCATCTGCGCGTTCGTGACGAGGTTGGTCCAACTCCTGCGTGACGCGGCCGAGAGGGTCCCTGATCGATGTGCCCGACACCGCATCGACACGTGCTCGAACTGGGGGATGAGGGGATGGGGATCGGGATTTGCTTCGTCGCCTGCGCGCCGGTGCGCTCGAAGTCTTGGCAGGAGGGTCCCCATCGTCATTCTTGGGCGTCTCGCGATCCTTGGCCGGTTCGTTCGGGATCGACAGATCCACACCACTTGCGAACTCCAGCGGCTGCTTCCCGGCTGCGATCTCCTCTCTCCTTCGTGCCGCCTCGGGATCCTCCTCCTAAGTCTCTGTGCGATCCGCCTCTTCACCCAAAGTCTCTCACTCAGATTCCTCCTCTTTCTCTAACTGATCCTCTTCTTCTTCTTCTTCTTCTTCACCACCCGACTCTTCCTTGTTGTATTCGTTGTAGCTCCCTGCTTCTTCCGAGGTCTCCTCCTCGCTTTCGTCTTCCACCTCAGCTTCTTCCGCCACCGCTCTTTCTTCCACCGCCGTTCGGGGCGAAAAGAAGAGGGTGTCAATGATCCCTCGGGGGTTCAGATACTCTGTGCGCGATGGACAGCTGCCACCTCTCGTCCGATTCTCTAAGCAGGCTGACCACTGCAGGTAGGGCGTCAATCTTCGTTGGAGGACGTGCGGCACTGGACTTTCGTCGCACTGCGAGATGATATCGAGGGGAAGGTCGTCGACGAGCTGCGCAAGAGGGATCGTGAGTTCCCACACGATCGTCTGGCGATGGTCCGGCTCTACTGCTCCGAAGACGAATCCGAGAAGATCACCCTCCACTTCCGTCCTCCAGACCTGGATAATTAGTAGCTCCACGCTCTCCCTCGCGGCACGATGTTCGCTGTCTCGGGTCCACGTCAGCTCCACTTCGACGAGACAGAGCGAAAGAGTGAGGTAGTGCTCACACCAAATCTCCCAGTGTCTTGGTTCGATGAGGGGAACGGCGAGGGGCTTTAAGCGGAAGGAGAGACGGGGGTAGAGATCAGACTGCCAGAAGGTAGGGAAGAGAGAGGCAAGAGCGAAGGTCGAGATCTGGGACCGGTTCATTGAGGACGCTGGAAGGGAACGAGCTTCGGAAGCGCTATCGCAGGTTCACGTCGAGACGTGCGAAGCCCGCCGACTTCGATGTCGTTGGTGGGGACAAGATTGTCATCGTGTCGCGCGATCCACTGGTTCCACTCCGCCGCCAGCTGCTCACCCCACTCTCTCAGCGATACTCGGATGGTCATATGCCGTAGTGGATCCACTGCGCTGATATCTCCGCTGAAGATGACAATGGTGAACACGTGGCTGACTCCAGGTACGGAAAGTCTTCGATAAGCCGATGCTTCGGCCAGTACGAGTGTCTGGCTATGAGCCGCAAAACGGAACTCCGTCGCCGTGTATACTCCCGTGGTACAGAAGAACTGTGCGAGCCGTAGAAGATCTGGACTGAATCGCGGGTGATGGACTTGCCTGATCGCCGAGATGTCGCCACGTGGCGCCAGCAGGTGCTCGCCGAGAGCTCGTTCGGTGAGAAAACTCATGGCGAAGATGATGGGGACAGACTATCGGAAGGAGAGTGAGACAGGGGAGGAGAAGCAGGCGATAAATAGTCGTCATCCTCTTCCGCAGCTGAGGAGGAGACAGACGAAGGTGGAGAGGGAGAGGAGGGGAGGGGGCGCAGATAGGACACGTGGCGGACGATCAGTCGAGCCGATCGGCTTCCCGAGACCTCCGATACGAGGCGCACGGTATTCACCCCATTCGGGTCGAGCTCGATCACACGAAATCTCCCGAAGAATCGTGGCGCTATCTTCCTTTGGCGAGCACATTTCCTCACCTGCACCAGGTCCCCTAATTGGGCCGTGGTCCCGCATTCCCATTCTAGTCCTCGTAACTGTGGACATGTCGGTCGTGGGCCAACTCAGTCATTTTCTGGCGCTTTCGAGCTAATCGGGGTAGGGAGCGCTCCATCAGCTCCATGTGTCGCTTGGCTTTGTCCCGAACCGTGGCCCTTGTGGGCCGTCGGTTCAACGAAGATTCGTCTGGGAGGCTTGGTATCGAAACGCAGGCCACACTATTGGTTCGTAATTGAAAGGGGCTCAGGCCCGTCGATTCATGGGGCGTTCCTCAATGGACCGCTAGGATGTGATCTACAATATCCGGCCAGGGCCTCGGATCCCGGGCCGCGATGTTTTGTCTCAGCGCAGTCTTTATCACCATGTTTGCGTTTTCTACCAATCCGCTAGATTGTGACATGTGGGGTGCAGTGTTTCGAATGGCGATGCCATGTACGACCAGATTCTTTAGAACTTCTCCTCTAAATTCTACCCCATTGTCAGTAAGGATTTCCTCTGTGTCCTGGTGCAGTGGTGCATTCCTAAAAACTGGTTGACGTATCGCGCAATTTTAGCCGCCTGTCGTGTACGACACGGATATGCCTCAATCCATTTTGAGAAATGGTCTACAAATACTAGCAGGATTGAATATTCGCAGTTATTAGGTCTAGGGGGCACCACAATATTGGTAGTATCCATACTAACCCTTTGAAAAGGTCGTTCGACTACCGTTGGCACTATCGATCTTGGTGGCTGAATCGGCGCCTTGTCAGCGGCGCAGACCTGACAGTTCGCGACGATGAATTTCACATCGTCGCGAATATTCGACCAATATCATTCATTTTTGTCAATTGCTGCTTCCGTGATTCGTACGGCAAAATGGGCCGCAGTTTCCTCGTGCGCTATCTTCACCCAGTCATACCTCATGAATGGGTGCGGTACTACCATCCAAATTCCACTACCATCCGTCTTCCGTTTTTCCAACCGTCCTTCGTTCCAGCGATAGTCCCGAGCCCTTTCATTGGCCATCCTCCTGTCTTCCTTAGTGAAGCCCTGGAGGGGGTTACCTACTAAGGTGGCAATTAGCGCAATGTCCGTCCAAACTTCGGCCCTTCTAAATTTTCGGGTCTTCTCTAACCCTTCTGACGCGGCGTCGAGAAATCGAGCCTCAGTCGGGATCTTATCAATCCGACACAAGGGACACAACCAAGGCTTATCGCCATTTCTGTACTAGACGCACGAGTCGTGGGCTCGTGCGACATACTATCGACAATCTATCCATTCTGCATACCCCTCCCCACTAGGACGCATAGGGACGGAATAGACGCGTGAGATTGCTTCGCAAAAATAATAAAATTTGTCGGGTAGGGAGAGAAGAGATGAGGATGAAAGGGGAGAGAGAGGAGTCACAGGATTACCTCCGTCACCCATTGCCAATTGCCTGCTTCTTGCCATGTGGAAGGACTGCCACTTGTCCGTACTTGGGTCCGTTCGCTGACTCCGGTTCCTTCCACGGAATGATTTCTTCACCCTTAGGTACCTTAGCGGGACGATGCAGACGTGTCAACCCGTTCGCGTTGCCATGCCTCTCTGTCTTTCGATGGATGATGTCGAAGTCGTACTCCTGTAGGCGCACCGCCCATCGTCCAATCATACCCGTATAATTAGTGAGCCTCTTCAGCGTCAGCAACGGCTCGTGGTCGGTCACAAGGAGGAACTTCTGTCCGTAAAGATACGGATCGAAGTGCTGGATTCCCTAGACCACGGCGTAACACTCGCCTTGCGGGGCCGAGTCGTTTTTCCGTTCGTTCGGCACCGTGCGTGATGCGTATTCGATGACGTGTTCGCGACCGTCGTTCCCCTTCTGCGCTAGGATAGCGGAGGTCGCCTACGACTGTCAGTCCGTTATGAGAATGAACTACTTCGTAGGGTCTGCCGGTTCAAAATAGGTGTTGCAGCCAGGGCGTTCTTGAGAGTGGCAAAGGCCTGTTCGCACTTTGCATCCCAGCTGAGGGGTTGGTCCTTCCGCAGTAAGTTCGTTAGAGGTCGCGCAATTGCAGCGAAGCCCTTGATGAAGCGACGATAGTACGACGCCAGCCCCAGAAAAGCTTGAACCTGCGTCAATGACATGGGGACAAGGGCGTCTTTCACCGCCGCGACTTTTCTCGAGTCTGGCCGCAGTCCTCCGCTTGTCACCACATAGCCTAAGAGGGAGATTTCCGATAGGAAAAACTCGCTCTTCTCGAGCGCAATCTTGAATCCGGCATCTCTCAGAGCCCCCAAGGTCCATTCGATATGTTGTGCGTGCCCGTGATAAGTCTCCGAGTAAACCAGGATGTCGTCCATGAATACGATGACGAAGAAGTTTATCATCCCCTGAGTCAGTCGCGTCTTGTTAACGAAATTCTGGAACGTCACGTTCATAGCTCGTTAAAACATGGCAGGCGCATTGCAAATCCTCATAGGACACCGAACCCACTGTAAGGTGCCTTCGAACAGTACAAAAACCGTTTTCGGTCGATCTTCCTCCTTAACCAGAATGTGATGGAAGTCGTGACGAATATCAAATTTACTAAAATAATTAGCACATCCAATCGCATCCAGCAAATCATCAATCCTGGGAAGGGGGTACACATCTTTAATAGTGATGTTATTCAGCTTCGATAATCAATGCATATGCGAATCGATCCGTTCTTTTTCGACACCAATACTACCGGGAACGACCATGGCCCGATGGCGGGTTCGATCGAACCATTAGCTTCGAGTTCTCGAATCCGTTCAAGGCCCGTTTTCCATTCTATCAGGGAGTATCTGTAGGGCTTATAGTGAATCGGGCGATGGTTTTCGGTTTGAATCTCGTGCTGTATGACTAACGGCAATCCAATGTCTGTGTCCGTCATGCTAATCGCTCCTTTGTATTCTTTTAGAATTTTCGCGATTAAGTGATGGATCTCATCGGGTACATATTGGGGCACGTGCAACTCGTACAACTCACCCCATATCCGTACATCGATATGTTTCATACTCACCCGCTTAGTGTTTTCAGATGGGGGCGCGGAAATAAACGAATTATCTGATCGCCAGGAGAATACCGTAGCCATCATTTGTGTGTCCTGCTCTCGAATAGCCACGTGTTCCTCTGGTGTTACTCCGTCTCGAATGTCCTGCCATGACATGGGTTTCGTTGCGATTTTGATTTCGAGCCCAATTTCGAGGCGCTCAGGGGGTTCCAAAGAATTGGTTTCCGCCCCTAAGCGTAATAATTGTATCTCTTTTGACACGTGCAGATAGGTATATCGTGGGAGATTCGTGATGTCGCAGAAGTGTCTTTTGTCGTTATATCGTGCGAGGAGAGGGGAGATACCTTCGTACAAGGTTCGAGAGGGTTCCAGATAATCGATCATCCTCGAAATTTGTACGAGGGGTTCACCCATAATCATTGCTTGCATTCTTTGTAGATTTTGGTCAGTCCAGCTCATTGGGTTCGCATTCGCTCGCTGCATAGGGTAATGGATACGCTGTTGTGCCATTTCCAGAATCACTGGATCATCCTCGTTGCTGCTGTCCGAGTCCTTTGACGATTGTCCGTCATCTGTGGAGTTATCCCAGGTGATCACGCGAAGGGTTACCGCCATCATGGGAGAAACTCGCAGGGTCACGTTAGTGGTTGTACGAAGGGTCAGTCTCATTGGTACAACATAGGGTTTTCCTCCTGTATTTCGGAGGACAATCGATCGTCTCTCGAAGTCCAGATTGGCTCGCAAGGCCACAAGAGCGGGAAGGTCGAAAAGGACGTCGTAAGTGTTTACGTCTAAGACTACAACATCTACCAAAGCATGTACTTTCCCTAATCGAAAAACAACATTGGTCATCTGTCCCACCGTTTTAATCTTTTCTTCATCTGCTGAATTGAGCTGATCTTTTTCTGTAAGCATGATTAGATCGTTCTTTCTCCCTGTCCTTTCAACTACCCGTAATGAGATAGCCAAAACAGCGGCTCCGAAATCAATCATATGGTTGTACGGGATTCCCCATACCTCGATATCGCATTCTGCGGATTCCCATATGATCGGTTTAATCCTTAGGAAATGATAATCTTTCTGGATTAATCCTAGTCGTATCGGATCTGAAGTATCAGCAGCGTTTTCGCCCTGTGCAAGACTTTTTGTTTTCGCGTTAGCTGTCCGTGCGAGGGCGAACCGTTTCCGATTCGCCTTGCAATGTTGCAACATGCATTCGTTGGCTTGTTCTGAAATTGAGAGTAAATGACCAATCGGAAGAGGAATCCGATGATCCAAGGCTCGCACGATGTTAAGAACATCGATTTTCCCCGTGACGAAGGTGAGTCCTCCCGACTCCATCTCCCCTAGAGAAGGTTCCCACTCCGCCACTTCTCTTTGTTCTGGCGTCGGTCTAATTGTTCCAATCATCCCAAGCCCCGGGTAACCAAGCGTTACATACTGATCCAATGGAATAAGCTCAGCGGCTTCCTCCATCGTAGCTAACGTGCTTCCTCCTCCTTCTATTTCTTCCATTAATGCTCCTACACGTCCACGCCCGTTAACAATCGGAGTTGCTGCTACCGACGCAGCCCCAACTCGTGGTTGTGGGGGTTGATGAGGGCAATCCCGGGCTATGTGTCCTGGTTGATGACACGTGTATCTGACATTCAAGTTGCCAGGGATCCCTGTGGGAGGCGGTGACGGAGCCAGCCCGTGCTGGATCGGGGCGGCACGCACTGCTATTGGTCGCATCGATCTCATCATTGCTTCAATTTGAGCATTGTATTCCCGTTGTTCCTTCTTGCTTTCCTGAATCAGATTGACCAGTGTTTTGGTTAGTTCTAATAGGGCGGTTGATTCGTTTGGTCGTGCGGGACTTTCAATCGGGGGTGGGGGCGCTGTCATCACAGGAACGGGCATGCTTGTAATCACACTTGGAGTTGGTCGTTTGGGAGTAATCTGTTCTAAATAGGTGACCGTGCCAGACACAAACCCCATGTTTTCGAATTTATTCTGTAACAAGGCGAGCTCAGCTTTAGCTCTTGCTAATTCGAACGAGTCTCCCTCCCTAGGATAATTTTCTCCTTCTAGGAAACTCGCAGCGAACTTTCGTTTCATTTCTTCTGCGGCTTTCATGATCTGTTGCAGCGTGTGATTGATGGGGGAGAACTGTTTTCGCAGTTTCGCCCTCATCGTTCGGCTGCGAAGTCCGTCGATGAACAAATCTCTACCTACTTGTTCGCCTCGTTCAGTTTTTACGAACATTCGTTAGAATCGGTTCCGGCACTCAGTGACAGACTCGAGGGGTTTTTGAACTCGGTCTTTAATCATAAAAAGAGCCTGTTCTGGGGGAATGTAATCGAATCGAATCAAGAAATCTCGTTCGAATGTCGGGAGATCTACCCATACGTAGGTACTAAACCAATGATGAGTGTCCCCCCCCAATCGAGCTGGAATATTTACCTGAGCCTCGTTGTCGTCATACTGCTGAGCCCGGAGCGTGGCCAACCATGCTCCAGGAAGGTGATGAGCAGGGTCGAACAGATAGAGATCGGATGGCGTCATGGGTGCTCGTGCTCGTGGTATAGGTTGATTAGGATTTTGTTGTTAATTGGGGTTTTGTTGCGGATTCGGGTTCTGCGGATTAGCGTTCATGTTGGTCGTCCGTCGATTCGCTGATCGGCTTCTGGTGACGACGGGGTTGCGTTTGTGCGCATTCCGGGGCCGAGGTCTCCCTTGGTTAGCCAGATCGCTCAACTATCGTGCTAAAAACCCAATAACCCTGCCATGTGTCGGGCTCCGATACCAACCTCACACCCGGCGCGACCCTGATCGGAGTGGGATGTGGGCCTGGAACTGCGAAAATGGGTGTGCCAAGGATTTTTGGGGAAAGTGGCGTTGGAGTCCCAGGTCAGAACTGAGATCTCATGTGGCGGGGTTTCAGGGTCATAGGCGCAATAGGGCTAAGGGACAGGTTATCTCCAGTCTGGTGGTGGTTGGCGTCCCGCAGCATAAGGCAGATGGTATGCGCGGTGTAACTGGGACCGTCCGATCCGCCCGTTTAAGTGATGGCGGTTCGGGAGAGGCCCGTCCGTGAGCGTTACGATTCCTATGAGTCGGACCTTCGGGTGCAGACACGTGGCGTCCGTCGTCGCGCGTCCCGGTTGGGCTCCGTGGTTTCAGAGGTTCGCCGGTTGCCGCGTCGTCCGCAATTTCTGCAAGGCGCGGGGGGCCAATACGGGGCGATGGAAATGGAATTCCACAACACCACCGTGAGTTGATGATACGGGAGGAGGAGACGAAAGGGAAGGAAATTGGTAGTGATAACGACAAAGCCGGGGGATATGAAGTATTGTGTGTTATACGTAGTTGGGTAATCGGGGCACCTCGAATCGCTGGTTACGGCACAGTGAAACTCCCTGAGACACAATCGGTTCTCGGTTAGGCAGGGAAATTTCGGAAGTCTTCGCCTAAGATATTCTCTTCCCCAAGGCTCGAAGTACCCTGAGTCCCGTTTGTACGTCATCTTGTCATTGCGGCATAGCGGAAGATTCCTCGCCTATCCCGATACTAGAGGTGCCAAGTTCGTCAACGATCGCGACTCGTCGCGCGTGGACACGTGTAGGCCGCGCACTTTCGGATCGCGCTTACACACATCCACGCGAGGTGTTCGCTTGCGCCCGGGCCTGTGGGTTATGCTTACACAAAAGTGAGAGTTATAATCCTTCATGCAAAATCGCCACGTGTCATGGATAACTACCCAATCATATAATCACTTAGTGGTCCCACAAACAATCATTTCCGAACATGCAGGATGTCGTTACACATCAGACATCGCAACAACATCAGAACTCATACCATAACAACGACGGATCAAAGTGACAAGCGATGATGATGACTAGGCAAAAATGACAAACATATCATTTCATCCGAGCCAATTCATCCCATGTACAAAAGAGGGAGGACCGAGGCAGAGTGAGACATCATACAAGGACCAATATTGAAACAAAGATGTCGAAGGGAAATGAGAGCGAATCGCTCGAGCCGAAATCAAAATTTATATACCAAATTTAAAGGAAAAGACAAAGAAAATTGCAAATCCACGTCCATYAACCTCAACTCTCTCTTCCTCTCTCCGATGTGGGCAGTYGGTCGTCACGCACCAACCCACGAAGTCGTCACCCCGCTTAGTCCTCCTGCACCCGTCAGGTTCGCCCGCGTGCTACAGTCCGTCGTAGCCCCACGCGTCAACCTCGCGCATTCGGCACCAGCTCGTCGGGTCGCCCGATTCCCACTTCAAATCACCTCTTACTTCGCTCGTGAGCCRACCCTCACTGATCGCGCTACCCCGAGCTTCCAGCAACTGGTTAAGAGAGCGATYTAATCGCGCAGCCGGAATTTATACCGTGCATGCAGGCGCGAAGAACACGGAATTGCAAGGACTTAGAAAGGAGTTCAGGGGAGGGAGCGCCTACGTTCTGCATGGCCAGATCGCGGCGTGGGGGACGTAGCCACTCTCCATGCATCGATCCGAGCATGCAGGCCGCGGGTTAACTAGGCACAATAAAAGGGAAAGAGAGAGAGCGGGAAAGACGAAGCTCAAGAAGAAAGATACAGTTACAATGACGCCCGCCTAAAATTACAGTTACTTGCAAGATTAAGGGCGCTGACTAATCAGAGCTCCGTTGCAGCCGCAAAAAGAAGCGCGCAAGCAGAAGGCGTTGCGCGGAAATCCTAAATTCTAAAATTTCTAAATTCCTATCTAATGCGAAAATGCAAAAAGCACAAAATCCGGAAAGAAAGTCCGAATGTCCGAGAGTCGTTAAGGCTCGATAAGATTCAAAAGGAATTTAAAAGACAATTCGAAAAGAACGAAGCAAAATTCCCGCACGATCCCCGCGCCAAAAATCCGACAGCCAGAACAAAAAGAAACGACGTCAACCATTATTACTTGCGCGCACATTGGCGCGCCACTCAACTGATCATCCCAGGACTTGCCCAGCCCTGAACCCAGCCATCCGAAAAGAAGTGACGCAAAAAGACAGAGAAGCGATAACACATGCAATTTCCCCTCAATCCCGATCTCCCGTAATTGGCCCAACCTTCCCATCTTAGGACCCCTCATTGTCATCGCGCAGAAAATCGCGCAAAACAGAAATTGGTTCGTCACAGAGTTATGCTGAGGGTGGAAGGCATAACCAGATCGTTCGACGTAGCGGGTGTCGGGGTATTAACCCTGTAACCTGTGTTAGGGGCTTGTCGTTATGGGAAGTGTCGAGGGAGGAAGACACTTCCTATCCGTCAGAACTAAGTTGGTCAGTACAAGGGAAGGTTGTGGTGCTTTGTTACCCTAGCATGGAAGGGGGTATGAGATCAATGTGTTTTGGTACGAGGACCGAAAGCCTGGATAAACTTTTCGTCTGTTGAGGGGGGAATTTTGGATATTAGGTTGTTTTAGTTTTGACCCCCCGCTGATATAGTTCTCCAAGCCTTTCCAGATATTTCCAAAAAAGACAAAAGGACTTAGTAATTGTGGCTTGAGTTCTTAGACTGCTCTTAGCTGAAATTCTCAGATTGTCTTAAAGTTCTTCTGCACTCTTTTCGTAGTTCTCAGATTGTTCCTAGTTGGAATTTTTAGATTGTTCTTAGCCAAAGCCAGATAATGGCCCTGGTATTCTCAGACTGTTCTTAGCCGATGCCAGGTCATGGCCCTGGTATTCCAAATTTCGTGTATCATTTCATATGGGACTTTGGGCCCGGTTCCCAGCACGTGTTGCTCCCCACGAATAGATTGGAGCTTTTTTCCCAAAAAAAAAAAAAAAAAAAAAAAAAGGGTCTGATCCGGCCATGGCTACGTCGGACCCGGACCCGGACATTTCCGGACATGGAACCGGACCCGTGTCCGGTAGTTTTCAGACGTCTGGAATTCCGGACATTTCCGGACCTCCGAACATGGGGGGATCCGGACGGTCCGGAAGTCTGGACAGGTCCGGAAATGTTCGGACCATTAAAAAAAAAAAAAAAAAAAAAATCTGCAAAAAAAGTATGTTATGCAGAATAACAATGCAAACCACTTTTGCCTCAGATTCATGTCAGAATTCCTAACCAAACTTGAGTTAAAAGTCAAAAACTATAAAAAGCTTAAAAAAAATACTTTAAAAACTAATAAAAGGTAATAAATTATTAATAATTAAAAATTTGGGGTTGTCTAATAAATTACTATAGAGAGAGAACATGTCCGGACCCCCCAAAAAAGCATAAACGGGCCTGAAAAACCCCCAAAATAATTTTGGGGGCTTGGCTCCTCAATGGGGAAGGGTCCTGGACCTTTTTTTTTTTTTTTTTCGAAATTTGCCACATCCGGACCTTCCAGACCGGACGTCTGGATCGTAGCCATGGATCCGACACTAGGATTTGAAGAATTCGTAAAAGAAACGAAAAAGGAGCCGTGTTGGACGACTTGTAAAAGAAAAATGCAATTGGCTGAGGGTCACATTAGAATTCGGGCCTCGCCGCACCACAATCGGATCGGTCCTTTTTTCTATATTCGTTAGACTCGGTTCGACAGTTGCCGATTCGACGGTGTTACCCGCTTTCGCCGCACAGCACTGTCGAACAGTATGGTGTTGAATCTCTGACTGCACTTCGACAGTGTTGTGTGGCGACGGTTGGTGCCGGCGAGAGAGTGCCTGGCGGGACAACGGTTGTCCGTGTGGAGGGATCGGTACCGTTCCTGGGTCCATTCACCGCTTGGTACATTCGCAAATGGTCTGCAAACGGGAGGGCGAGGCCCAACACGTCCTTGTGGAGAGGGCGCGTTTCGACGGCCAATGTCGAAGCGCTTGCAGACAACACACACAACAACAAGCCACGACAAATCTGAGCGCCGTCGAATTCCGATGGGTTTTCGACGACCACCAGAAGGCCTGTCGAATGTTTGCCCACCGCAGGCGGGCGTTTTCGAGTGTGAACACACCACCGTCGAAAACCGAGTTCTGACAGGTGTCGAGCAATTTCTGACAGTCGTCGTTTCGACAGCCTGTGTGGCGACGTTAAAATGTCGAAAACTCGATTTTCGACGATGGTGCGGCGAGGCCCTTCCTCATCGAATCGGAGATGAAAAAGAAAATAGCAGAATTACAAAACCAATTTATACACTAGGCTCTCTTCTCCTCATTTTTCAGGTTCAACGTACTTGGGAATTCCACAATTAAGACCCTTGTGATCCGTTGCATCCCTTTTGAGTCCCTTCTCAATTTCAAGGTGTAGAATCCTCGAAATTGAGGCTCCCCTCTCTTTTTCTAGCCTTTCTCATTTTGGATCCCAAAGGCCATTTACTTTCTTATATTACCCGTGCTTGGGCACTTGTTTAGGTGGGACCTACTAGTCCTTTTGCACCCTCCTTGCTTGGTTCATGGCCCTTAGGCTTTTCTAATGTCGCATTCAGATGGCCTCCTAGGCCGCATGCTAGGACCTCTTGTGTCGGTGGTACGACATCACGGGAAAATAAAAAAAATAAAAAAACACAAAAAACCATACAACATTCAGCAAAAAAGAAAAAAGAAAAAAAAAGGAAATCAGACATGCCCAACGAGAATGAATCTTCCTCGAT